CTTTCTCCATCTGTCGATTGTTCGATCGGTCTGTCTGCTGTATGCACTGTATGCCTGTCAGTCGGTGAGTTGACCTGTCTATCTTTCTATGTCCCTACAGTGCCTACAGTGCCTACAGTGCCTACAGATGCTTGGTTGGCTCTCACATCACAATGCACCTCCAGCTTTAAATGCTTTAATGTAAACGACAAGTTTGAGAAATCCATTCTAAGCCAGCGGCGGCTTGTTGGCGACACAAGTGTTCCCAGACCTGAGATGCTAGTCAGCTAGTCTGATGTAGTCTCGTCAAATGGCACGACAGAAGAACTTGCATCGCTTTAGCCGCTAAGCACCGTTACCAAAGGCATAGCGCCAGCTTGGGCACTTGCAACTGCCTCGAGACAGATTGAGACACATAGGGCAACCATCATGCATTAGTTTCGAGGGCAGGCAGAAAGCTTCCGTAATGGAGGTCACACATCTTTTAGCGGTACAAACACAATTCAACGATTGAATGATTCAATGAGAAGCTCCTTTCCGTCTCAAACTTTCAAACCACTGGTTCCAACATGTCCAGTTCCAGTGTTTCAACCCTCTGTGGTTCCACTCTCAAAAGAGGAACCTCTGGCAGTTCCAACTTTCTACATTGGCTTGGGCACTGCTTTCAGACAAAGAGAGCGCTTGTTGTCAAGTTCCTTTACCCTGCGTCATATTCCAAAGTTTTCAGATTTACAATTTTTCCGAAGTTCCGTTCCATGTGCAGAGTTCTAGTATTGCAAGATTTGAGGGAAACAGCCCCTACCAAAGCGTCCAGAGACCTTTGTCCAGACCTGAGGGCTCCAAAAAATCCACGATTGTGATGTTCATGGTGCAACAACATATTCTCATTGCCAGAGTTTGCACAGTTGGAGTCAAGGGTTCTGGTTCTCTTGCAAGGAGCCTGATCTGCGTTCCAACCTTCCGGATTCCAAGCTTTCGTTTGGGGGCTCTGAAGTCTGAAGTGCCACAAAAAGAATCCAGCATCCTTCATTACAGGCACCATAGAAAGGTCAGAGGCTACTTGTGAATTTGAAACCCGGGCCAGGATGGGCCAGGTATAGGAGATAAGGGTTTCGGTCGGGGGGATTAGTGTGTCACCTGCAACCCCGAAACACGGAAACAAGCGAACCCGCGACAGACTCGAACACCGCAGCTATTTTGCACTTGGGATATACAGATCTTGAGAAGAAAGCATGTTGATCGTGAGTGCGAAACTAAATTTTGTTCGATCAAGTTACAATCTTCCACGAAGCGATGTTGGGCAAGTGCAACTTGACCACACAGTGGAGCAATGCTAAAACTTGACGGATCTTTCTGATAATTTTTTGTGCACCTCCTCAAAGATCCGTCCTCGCAAATAGAAGTGTTGCCTCCCGGGCGTTGACACCTGATTTTGCAAATTTTGAGGTAATCAGGTGAGTAAAGAACTTGTTACCTTTAGAGTCCTGTGGTCTACAGTGGTCTACGGTCAAAGTGCAAAATGAGGCGATGGCAAAAGGCTCAAGGTCTTCGTCCTCTGCCTGTCACTTCTCAACAGAATGATTGTAGACTTGAGAAGCACAAATTTCTGGTTATCTCACTCATCTCAAGCTCACTGAAGCTTTAACCATCTATCTGCCCAATCCTTCCCGCACTTGCAGCTTCGACTTGACTCGTCTTGTACTGCAGTTTCAAATGACTTCATTGGAATGCTGCACTGTCTGCAACCCCCTGCGAGTGTCTTGGCTTTGTGCAAACGCAAGCAACTACATTCGGAGCTGAGTTTATCGAAATTCAAAAGGCGGGAACCATCTGTGCAATGCGCACTTTGCTGCATCCAGCTGGAAACACCCAAGATGGAAGCGAGGAGAAATCTGGTGCTTTCACGAGTTTGGGTTCAACGGTCCGAACTTTCCTGTGCATGTCTTTCCAGCCCATGACTTGTCGAGCACACGCAGCTCCCAAAAACCAAACAGTCAGCGGCTTCAGAACACACACCAAAAAGGAAACTTCAGAAAACCACTACACTACCAGTACACTGGTTACACTACCCGGAGTATCAGCGTCAGCGCAGAACACTGGGTACACCAACTCGCCGCTCCCGGCGTCTCCCGGGACTGCCTGGAGGGGCTTAGCACTGAACTCACGCACAGGAGCTGCATGCGGAGAACCTTTGCCTTGGTGCAAGGAGGGACTGTTCAAGAGAAGATACAGCATATTGATGCAAATTGGACGCGTAGTGATTCATCATGATGCATGACTGTGATGCATATTGTCACAAGAATCAAAACTCTCAGTTGAGATCAATCAGGTGCTGAATCAAGCACATCACATGAAGCACATTCATAGCCCCTCTCAGCGAATCACACCGGGCCAAATCCAACATACTGCTCTGCAAATGCAATCGCGCACGCAGCTGGCCAACCTCATTTTCAATCAGGGGCTTTGCAATGCACTGCTCCTCATGAGCACTGCTTTTTTGGATGCTCAAAGGCACTAACATTGAACTTACTATGCCCACGTCTAGGTTGTTGGAACAGCGACACCTTGCACCATTCGCATGACATCTATACAGACAGTCCAAGAATATGGACCCTTCCTACCATCGTCGTGTCATTGAAAATCAGAAATGATTTTTAGCATCTACCCCGTCAAAGGTTGAAAAGGCATGCTGGGTGAGCAACGAGCGTTACGCGAAGGTTGCACATTAGGCCATTTACCTATTAGAAATTTCCAGCGCGCATTGGAGGCGTTTAGGAGCGGCTTCCTTCAGTCAAAAATGTTGCGGGAAGGGTGTTCTGCCCACACGCGTCTTGACTGCTTAAGGTGTGAACACAAGTGTATGTGGGCAGTAAAAAAGGTTCTACATAGGCACCGCAGAGGAGCGTATTGTTGTCATTGTATTTGGGCAAGAGATACAAGAACCTCCTAAACAACATGACAAGAACACTCTAAATATATATATATATATCTTTGCCGAGCGTTTTCCAATGGGGGTTGCAAGCCACATTGTAGCGGCATCGGCAAGGCGTTTCCTATGTATTCAAGACGCATGAAACACACTGAAACACTAGAAACATATGGACAGCGTACCTCCTCCAAAGAGATCATGCTCCGCAACACCACAGCGCCATGCCTCAGGCCAATTTGTTTCGGCGGACACTTCAGAGCTTGCCTAAATTTGCTGTCAAGATCTGTTAAGTTGAAAGCATGTTGAAAGCCTTGGATAGTCATTATTATAGCATATTATAGCCTTGGTAAAATGTTTCGAAATGTTTGCACGCTTTGAAAAGAGCCAAACCTTTCCAATGCATCTGCTGCTGCAACCCAATCCTGCCCGGACATTTCTCATGCTTGCACTGCTTGCACTACAAGGAGTGGCGTCATTTAGGCCGGTTCAAACTTACAAACTTTCTCAGTGAAATTAGATTTCCAGAAACAATTTCGCGAGAAATCTGGATGTATTGCTGATTTCAACTTCCTTACGTCAGCAACCAGCATGACACTGTGTGGCTTAGTGGTCAGGCTTGGGAAATTTACCACAAACATCCCCAAACACATGAGCCACTCGAGTCCTGAGGACTGACCGTTTGGAGTGGCCTGCTGGCCTTCAAACCGCGAATCGGTTTCGTGCTGCAACAAGCACAGCAAACACAGCAAGCACAGCAAGCACAGCAAGCACAGCACCACAAAGTGATGGTCTTGTTCCCTGCCTCAAGCATACAAAGCGGCACCTGCGACTCCAGTGGTTTTTGAGTCTTTGAGTCTTTAACCAAGTCTTTGAATCAAGCTGCCGGCTCTCCAATTAAATTAACAATTACTTTACTTCGAGTGATCCCCACCATGCCATTTATCGATTTGTTACTGACATATCTTCTGGCATTCTATCCGGCATATCTTCTAACATTCTATCTGGCATATCTTCTGGCATTCTATCTGGCAAATCTTCTGGCGCTCTCTCTGGCATACCTTCTGGCATTCTATCTGGCATATCTTCTAACATTTTATCTGGCATATCTTCTGGCATTCTATCTGGCCGTTGAGGTCCAGCGGTGCACACTGAGCTGGGCAGGTCCCTGCTTGAGGTCCAGCAGTGCACACTGAGCTGGGAAGGTCCCAGGTTGAGGTCCAGCGGTGCACACTGAGCTGGGCAGGTCCCAGGTTGAGGTCCAGCGGTGCCCACTGAGCTGGGAAGGTCCCAGGTTGAGGTCCAGCAGTGCGCACTGAGCTCGGAAGTTGGCAAAGAGCTTGGCGAAGAGTTGGCAAGGCGGAAGTGGGGGTGGAAGTTGATGCAGACATGGTCGAGGAGAAACTGGAGGAGGAGGCGGAGGAGGAGGAGGACGAGCTAGCCGAGGAGGAGGAGAAGGAGGAGAACAACTCTGATAAAATCTAACAACCCTCACCTGGCAGGTGGGGAGTTATCTAAAAATCAACTATATTTCAAAGCGCTTCGGTGGTATCCCCAACAGCCGCAACGTTTTATTTTTCCAAATCTTTCCGAAGCGTCCTGCCAAGCCAAGCGCTGGAAACACCTCAGTTGGGTTTCCGTGAGTTAATTGGCCGCAAATCCTGTTGAACCTGACCCAAGCCTCCCAGACCTTCTCCAGAACCTCCTCCGGAACCCTGTTGAACATGACCTTGGAAAGCCTCCCCGACCTTCCAGACCTTCTCCGGAACCTTCTCCGGAACCCTGTTGACTCTGCACCGAAGCCTTCCAGACCTTCTCCGGAACCCTCTTCGAAAACCTTCCTGAAACTGACTGGCTTTGCGCCAAAGCCTTTTGGAACCTTCTTCGGAAGCCTGTTGAACCTGACCTGGCTTCGCACCAAAGCCTCCCAGACCTTCTCCGGAACCTTCTCCGGAACCCTGTTGAACCTGACCTGGCTCTGCACCAAAATCTCCCAGACCTTCACCGAAACCTTCTTCGGAACCCTGTTGAACCTGACCTGGCTTTGCACCAAAGCCTCCCAGACCTTCTCCGGAACCCTGTTGAACCTCACCTGGCTCTGCACCAAAGCCTCCCCATCCTTCTCCAGAAGCTTCTCCGGAACCTTCTCCGGAACCATGTTGAACTTGACTTGGCTTTGCACCAAATTTTCCTGGGACCTTCTCCGGAACTTTCTCCGGAAGCCTGGTGAACCAGGACCTGACGTGGCTCAACACCAAAGCCTCCCAGACCTTCTCCAGAACCTTCGGAACCTTCTCCGGAACCTCGTTGAACCTGACCCGGCTCCTGCACAAGTGCACACCGGAGCTATTCTGGGCTGAAGACCCCATTAGCTTACGCTGTTGGGGAAAAATTGTCAAATGACTTGGACCGAAGTGCCGGTGTGCACAATCCCACGCCAGGCCACACAATGAAACCAAAGTTCATCGATTTTATCAGCCTCGGTGCCGATATCTCTCCCGTAAGATTCATCGACCTGGCGGAGGCATGTTTCAACATGCAACACGTTTCAACCATTATTGTGACTAAGTATGGATGTATTTTAAGCCATCGTGCCCAAAAATGGATCTTTAAACCTGGCTAGACAGATATGACAAATCTAATTTTGGAGCATCCATAGGCTTGCAAGCACCATGATGGTGGTGCAAATAATGTCTTTGCTGTGATGTACTGGAAGACCTGGTGTCTTTCCAATGACACAGTAACAACAAACCCTTGGGATACAGTAACTTTGGTGTGGGTGTTGCCTGCATCTGTATCCCAGTCTCGTTGCACAGCATTTAAGCTGGTGTTTCTGCTTTTGCTCGTGCCAATCATATAATTTAATGAATATTTAATGTGTACCGTACCTTCTAAGAAGAGTGAAACTAGCGATAAATTGCAAACAGAAGCCGTTGACATGGATGTGGATTCTCTGCTTTGTTCGCACCAACGTAAACTTTCGGCATCACAGATTCAAGGCAACCGCCTAGGTTTTTCTGACAAGTAAGTACTTTGCAGTAGGAACACGCTAAAGTGACGAGCAAAACCGAAGCTGTCGACATGACCTTTCCTATTGAAGCTACATCTTTGGACAGCTTGCGACTTTGGAACTTCGGGTGGATGGCTTTTTGGACTGAGCATTGCGCAGTTCACTGAACCAAGACTTGAGACCCAGTTCGTCTAAGAATATCACTGTTCAAATGGTCAAAACTATGTCAAAACTATGTCAAAACTATGTCAAAACTATGTCAAAAGTACTGAAGGTCAAAACTACGTCAAACTTGTTTTGGCTCTCCTTTGCGAGCCCTCGTCTTGTCTCTCTGCCTGCGATATCAAATCGATGCCAGGAAATGCTTCCCTCGGCCTGCATCAATGAACCCCACTCATTCAAAACATTTCAATAAGGCAAATCGGCAAATCTAGTTTTGGGCACGTAAAAACTCCAGCGTTGCAACCTAAGATTGCCCAAACTATCTTAAACTACTTTTCAGACTCATCGGTGCACAAGTTCCGGCATGTCCGAATAAAAATACATGCATTTTTATGTATATATATCCATGTGCTCATATCGTTTTATCGGGGGACGTTGGCTTCCCAATCCTTTGAACACGGCAAACGGACATTGTTGTCTTTTTGTTGTCTCTTTGTTGTCTCTTTGTTGTCTCTTTGTTGTCTTCTTGTTGTCTCTTGTTTGTCTTTGTGTTGTCTTTTTGTTGTTGCTGTTGCTGCTGCTGCTGCTGCCGCCGCTGGTGGTGGTGGTGGGGGTGTAGAAAATAGACTCCCAAATGCAAATGGCAAAGCAAACATTTGGCACGTGGTCAAACCTTGGGACACATGTTCTGAGAAAGCGGTGCAGGGTTGATAAGGCTCAAGAATCAAACAGCTGCCTGCGTTCCCTTGAGGATTCGTTTCGGCTTGAAAGGGATTTGGGTTCAAAGCACGGGTACGAGCCCAAACATCAGTGATGGGGCCGTTCCGAGAAAAACTCAACGAGCATTAAGCATGACAAAGTATGACAAGGTATGACAAGGTATGACAAGGTATGACAAGGTATGACAAGGTATGACAAGGTATGACAAGGTATGACAAGGTATGACAAGGTATGACAAGGTATGACAAAGTATGACAAGGTATGACAAGGTATGACAAGGTATGACAAGGTATGACAAAGCATGACAAAGTATGACAAAGTATGACAAGGTATGACAAGGTATGACAAAGTATGACAAAGCAGATGACAATGCAGATGACAAAGCAGATGACAAAGCAATGACAAAGCAGATGACAAAGCAGATGACAAAGCAGATGACAAAGCAGATGACAAAGCAGATGACAAAGAGGATGACAAAGCAGATGACAAAGCAGATGACAAAGCAGATGACAAAGCAGATGACAAAGCAGATGACAAAGCAAATGATGACAAAGCAGAAAGCAGATGACAAAGCAGATGACAAAGCAGATGACAAAGCAGATGACAAAGCAGATGACAAGCAGATGACAAAGCAGATGACAAAGCAGATGACAAAGCAGATGACAAGCAAGCAGATGACAAAGCAGATGACAAAGCAGATGAC